TCTAATGTATTATGTAAATTTTGACTTGAAAAGGTTGTTATTAAATGATGTAATGATAATTTCATTGTATATTACGTGTGCCTGTTGTACATCGCAGATTTTGTCTCCTATATAGGCTCGTCACTTCTACTGTAAATATGTGAGTCATTATTCTATGGTCTACTAGTTCATTGGACAGTCTCAACTTTTTTTTTTACATTACATATCGAGAACATAGTTTTCAGACGCCCTGTTTTATTTTGATTCTTATCAATTGTGAACTCTATATCAAATTTTCCCTCCAGAAAGAAATTGTAGTTCTGTATTTTAAAATTTTCCGTTTAAAGTTATTTTAAATCAACGTAAGAACACGGAGTGTCATTGTTAAGTCAATTATGATTCTGAGTAGTGGTATACATACATATATATATATATGTGTGTGTGTGTCATCAGAATAAATTAACAGTCAGTTACAAAGAAAAAATGTCAGATTTTAAACAAACATATTCTTTTAAATCAACCACATTTCGCATATGCATTATCATACATTCAATGTAAAATTCTATGTATATATTTGTTCCTATTCTAAACACTAATAAACTCTGTATTTTTATTATACCCAAATTGTAAAGAGAAAAGTAAATGTGTTTAGAAACACGTTTTATCACATTCCCTCTTAACTCCGAGAACTTAATTAATCCAACTTATTTTATGTCCCCGAATGTAACCATCACAAGCTGAGTAATATTAGTTGACGACACAGAAAATATAATTTCGATTAGTCTGTAGTATCAGATGGACGGTAGATTATTAACTGCTCTCTTCGACAACCGTGGCATAAAATGATAGATCAACGGCAACCTTCGTCGCTTCAGAAATCTTCCTATATAGTTTGTCATTTACGTTGTGCTTAATGTAGCCGTTTGATTAGACTTTTTTTTTAAATTAAATCAGATCATGTAAGTCAACCATGTAAAACCTTCAGATAATCTCTTTGGAGGAATTGAATCTACTAGTGAGTAATGGATTTTCCCAGATTTTAAACAATGACTGCTACAGTATCGTAATGAACCAATCAATATAAACGTTATCAGTGATATTGTAGAAGCGACACCGAGGGGATGTTTCAGAGATAAGTATAGACCTCAAATAGCATGCTTACTAATCTCAGTTAGTGTATGAAAACAGAATCAAAATGAAATGCGCAAATAATAGTAGTAGATGGATTGAATTTTCCTTAAACATTTTATTCCTTTCATATCATATGATAAAGTCTGTCTACGTTATCAAATGTTAAATGTTGAACATATCTATCTCCAGCAGATAGACAGAGAAGAAGTTACTGTAGTTTTCCGTTTATTATGACTGTGAACGAAGTCCAAGTTACAAGCATATATATAAGTCAAAAGCTTTACATTTAGAAACGCAAGAAGATATAGACTGATTCAGATGTATAATTTCGTTCATTAAAGTGCTATTGGAATTGTCACAATATTTAATACTAGGTAACGGGGCCGTAAAAGGTAATTGTGTATTGGGAAACTAAATATTGTATTCTACATTCATAGTTTTCAGTCAGTAGTACCATTTCTTCCAGTATCTACATATAAATATCGTACGTTAATTTCGTTATCCTCAGTTCAACTGTACGTTTAAAAAATCTGTCTTAAAATGTAATTTGTATGTTTATATAATTCTACCCTAGGGAAAATCGTTTAAGCGTTTTTTCCTTATAAAACTCCGGGAAATACGATATTACACTCTCATTAAATCTCAGCAAAATGTCTAGAAAACGCCTTTTTTTCTAGCTTTTAATTATTTAGCAATCACTTCATCACTGGATTATTTAAAAAAACATTTTACTATTTGACCAAAATTTTACTTTCTCCAGGTTAACCACATCGAGAAAAATATCGAATACTATTCTTAATAAGTAAATCTGTTTTACTGAAACAAGTCCCCCAAGTAGCTCAGCGGTATGTCTGCGGACTTACAACGCTAGAAACCGGGTTTCGATACCCGTGGTGGGCAGAGCACAGATAGCTCTTGTGTAGCTTTGTGCATAATTAAAAACAAACAAACAAACTTAATAAGTAAATCTCTGTTTACTGAAACAAGTCCCCCCGAGCAGCTCAGCGGTACGCTTGAGGTATTATAATGCTAGAATTTGGGGCTCGATTCCTGTCGTAAGGATGATTCAGAGAATCCATTGTTAAGTTAGACGTTTAACAATGAATAGCACATAAACAATTTACTGAAACAAAAGCACGTAATACAGTGTGAACCAGCCACATTAATTACTATTGCTTACTGATATTTAAATAATTTCAGTTGCATTTATTAGGTGATCAATAAAATCCATCTTATTTTGTTTACTTGTTTTCTCTAACATAAAGATACTAACTCTTAACCCTCAAATTACGGACTTGTTTTTAATCAAACAAATCATAACCTGTTATAACACTCATTGTAAAGAATTGATCAAACATTTTGGGCGAAATCTTTCACTTTTTAAGTGAAATACATAAGACACCCAACAATAATTAGTGCGATCAAGTGCAATATTGATTGTATTTTGTGTGTGTGTTATTCGACTTTCATTAGGAACCCTCTAACCAAGAAAGTCATTGACTCACAAGTAATTTGGTGCAGAAATGTGTTTGAAAAATGTGTTTGAAAAGCTGATGCGGTCAATACCCCATCCGTTAAACTAAGGTTAAACGATCGGCTAATTTATCTTATTTTATCTTGTTCATAAATTAGAAATTCAAATAAGAAAAATTAGCCAAAATATATAATTATATTTGTGACGAAGCTACTACGGCTATCTTCCGCCGCCTATAATTTTAAACTACTTACCAGACAGAAGTAATCCAGTTTGCAGCGCATTACTACCCTTCCAACGCACTCAGAATTAAAGTGCAGGGCATATTTTGTTGTATCGCACGGATTCGAACGCGGTTCTCTAGCTTCCAAATATACATATATAACTTTATGTTAACTTAGGTTTTGAATTATATAAGTTACTTGCTGATTTCAAAGAGCGCAAAAGATACTTCAAAGTTTTTAAATGTTATATTTTCATCATTTTTAACAAAAAAATAATACAAAAACCTTATAAAATCATAATTTTCGTAGTTATTTAGCAAATTGCTATTAACTTTGTTTACTAAGATTATTAAGTACAAACCTATATAATAAGTTATACGTGCTGTGCCTATTCCGCGTGTCAAAACCAGATTTTTAGCGTTATATGCCCCCAGACGTACCGCTGAACCACAGGGTGCCTTGTTATTATCTGATATTAACTATTTTGAAATGATCGTTTCAAAAATTTTGAAGTTCATCAAAGAAGTTGTGTATATTTTGATTATGCATACGCAATTTTCAAGTAATGTATTATCTTTGGAGACACGAGTTGACCATTGGAAGAAATCACCAACTAAGTGGTCTGAATAAATGTAGCCAAAATATATAGCCAAATATCTGTGTTGTTGCTATAATAAGTAATTAAGGTTTAAATGGTGTATTGTATGTATGTATGTTTTGAATTTCGCGCAAAGCTACACGAGGGCTATCTGTGCTAACCGTCACTAATTTAGCAGTGAAATACTACAGGGAAAGCAGATAGTTATCACCACCCACCACCAACTCTTAGGCTACTCTTTTTACCAACGAATAGTGGGATTGACCGTCACATTATAACGCCCCCACCGCTGAAAGGCCGAGCATGTTTGATATAACGGAGATTCGAACCCACGACTCTCAGATTGAAATGATGTATTACCTTCATTAATAAAATACCGTAAAATATATGAGTAAACCAGTTAATTAGTTTTTGGCTTTGCTTGAAATATTAATTTATATCGATAAGTTTTCAGCTTCTCTTAAAGATTACCACAAAAGTATCATTTAGAAGATATATTTTTTTTTACAATTACACTCACCAATTTTTAATAGAAAGGGAAGATTTTGAAGAAAAAAGTAAAGAACAGTTTATTATAAAAAGGTGATATTCAATGAGAGTTGATTCCATCTCAAGTTTGTACGTATGTGTTTTCATAACATCCCGTAAATATAATGACAACTAATATAAATGCCCCTCAGTGGCACAGGGGTATATTTGCGGACTTACAACGCTAGAAACCGGGTTTCGATACCCGTGGTGGGCAGAGCACAGATAGCCCTTTGTGTAGCTTTGTGCTTAACTACAAACCAACAAACTAATATAAAATTCTCATTCCTATCTAAAGTATCACGCATCTCTCTATGTATCGATTTTGTTGTTCTCTACACATTATTTCAATAACATCCCGTAAATATAATGACAACTAATATAAACTTTTCATTCTTATCTAAGATATCACGCATTGCTTTCTATGTAACGATTTTATTGTTCTCTACAAATCTGGAGGTCTTTATGCTAAAATGACATATTGTAATAGCTGATTCAACAAGCCGTTGCCTTACTATTCTTAGTTGCAAAAGCAATATAAACTATTAAGAATAGCGTCACCACTATAAAAGCTGGTATCATCTGCTTCGCCACTCACTTTTTGAAAATATCCTTGCATCTTCGAGACGCACTTACTTAGTAACAGTCACTACTTATTACCTACCAATAAGCTCTAGAATTCAACGGAATAATTTCGAGACAACTAAACCTTATACACAACTTTTATTCGTAATAAAATAATTTTGTTAAGGTGAATAAAAATGTAACTTTCAAAACTTTTCCTGAGTCTGTTGAGCTTGAATTAAACATAAGAAGTTTTTGACAGAATTCGCGTCAGTTGTGGGTGACGTTATTTGTTTTAGCGAAAAGTGAATTTTCCTAACAGCACTATTTATGATACAATAAAGTTTTAGATAATTTGATGAATGGAGTTTAAGTGTACTGATTAGATTTATTGTCATAAAAAATGTTATGCCACGAACATGCCTTTTGGGTAAGCAATAAAATAACTCATAGTTTATCATGAAGTTACATGGTTCTTAATATATTTTTTGTATATTTTCAGTCCCGAGGACAGAAGTGTACACACTAGTAGGACATCCAGCTCAACTACCGTGCGATATTACCACAGAATTTTCCAATGATGAAGTGGCCCTTGTTCTTTGGTACAATAACAAATCTCCTTCCCCGCTTTACAGCCTCGATGCCAGGCGGGGAAGTCTTCGTAATAGCAGACATTGGAGAAGTGATGAGATGGCATCTAGGGCATATTTCAACATTAAGGATATTCCAGCGTATTTAGCACTCGATCCAGTAACAGAGGACGATGAAGGAGTCTTTACCTGTCGAGTTGACTTTTACAAATCTAGAACACGATATCAGGAAGTAGGGGTGAATCTAATAGGTGTGTTTTGGGTAGATTTTTAAGGCTCTCTCCGCCTTTCAGACAAATCAGATAATGATTTAAAGTTCCTGAAAGGTGTAAAAGATCATTACTCGCAAATGTGTAAAATCCAGGTAATTTTATAATGTTATAAGCAATTTAAGAAGTAATCACCATAAGACATATCTTAAAATATTATTTGATCTGCATCATAGGAATAGCAATTCAAATGAAAATAATATCATTACAATAAACTCCCTCCTATGCAATATGAAGTAGACAGCTAGTGCATGTATTGATATAACAATCAAACGATTTCAATGATTCAGTATTCGGATAGATTGCTCAGCTGTTTCTGTATGAAACTTTGTCGAAAAACAAGCTGTACAGGGTAATTAACTTAATACAGGGTTTTTATACGTCAATTATCATGAAATACGGAAGTACAGGAAGAAATACTGGTTCCTCAGTATTATACGCAGTTTTGTTTCTAACAGCAAAGTAAGTGAATTATTACTCTGTAAAACGTTACTCTGTGTTACACTCACAAAAAAAAAATCTGACTAAGCGTCAGAAACGGCTTTCATCATCAGTAAACGTTTTTAGTCAACTACGACTTTAATTAACAGGTATACAAGGCTTCCTACACATAATGTTCGGTCATTACATTAGTTGTATTAAAAAATCAAAAACAAACGTCATTCTCTTTGATCGCACTGTCTCACTGAAAATAATTTACTATAAACTACTGGTTTCTCCAGCTGAGATTTCTCATATGTTTGGACAATTTTATATAATTCTTTCAGTGTAAAAATCTATGGATAACTTAAAAAAATAATTTTGAATCTTGTCTTTTGTTTGAAAAACTTTTCAACTTGACATGCTACTTAAATAAACATCAAGGAGTAATACGTTAACATACACTTTTGTAAGAATTATCAACACTTTTATGTGTCATGCCTTGTACAAGGTAAACACAATATAATGGCTAACGTCGAATATGTTGAGCTACTGAAAGTAGAGGTAATATAATTTTCAGAATAATTACGTGTTACTCTGTCAATACAAGAGACAAGATACGGATTGCATAGTAAGATGGTATCAAGGTCAAGGAGAAACTGTTTATGGTCACTAGATATCTTTAACGCTTCTCCATTAACAAAGATGTTAGCATATTTCTGGATTACATAGTAATATGTATCAAGGTCAAGGAGAAACTGTCTATGGTCACTAGATAACTTTAACTCTTCTCCATTAACAAAGATGTTAGCATATTTATGGATTACATAGTAAGATGGCATCAAGGTCAAGGAGAAACTGTTTATGGTCACTAGATATCTTTAACGCTTCTCCATTAAAAAAGATGTTAGCAGATTTCTATTACATGTTTCATGAATAATGTTTCAAGATTATTACATAAAGTGGAAAAATGGAGGTTTTCAAAGATACCATGAAAACAAAATATATCAATAAACGTTCGCTTGTGTAACGTATAGGCTCATTTCAAGAGAATTTGACAATTTTAAACGACTCTAAATATCCAACACATATTTAAAAATAGCAATATCTCTACTTTTCTTATAGTAGCTTCTCATATAATATAATTTAGATATTGTTAATATAATTTCAATATCTATTTGCTAAATTCTTCACATTTGGACAACCTTTCTATAATATAGAGTGGAATTATTACGACATTAATGTGGAAAATCAAAGAACAGAACTTTAGTGAAGGTTATTTTAAAAATCATATCTAACAAAGATAAACTTGAATAATGTAATTATTTGGAAGTCGTATAAAACGAGAGTATTTGACGAAAGGGAAATACAGTTGACGTGATTAGCATTTTTAACTACTGATATGAATAAATCATATAAAGGCGTTTACATTTTCATTATAAAGTGACATTAATCTTGACTGAGGTGACAGCTCAGGTCTTTCACTATTGATTTTTTTCTATTTCGTAACCCTGAAAGTAAATCATCTCTAGTACATGTGATGGAAAACATTATCAGTTCTGTTCACTATGATAAAATAAGATAAGAAACCTACTTCCATGATTACTATTATTCTTGAGTAATAAATGTTCGATCTTACGTTAAATATCGTGCTTGCAGAAAATCAAAGGCTTCTCTTTGAGAAGTATCAAATGAATGAAAGAATTTGAGTCAGGCATTACAAGATTATGCAACATTAACAATCATTTGTAGGTGCACATGAAATTATGTTACATGTATTTGGGGTAAATCATCTATTCCTGACCTGAAATTTTCTTATACACAACGAATTGAAATATGTTAAATATGGCATTTTTCATATTCTGAGATTATGGCACTCGTATGATAATAATTGAATCAAAAATCGATTAGCAATATTTTACAAAGTGACAATAAGGATAAAGAGATTAGGCACAATAACATAAAGCCCACTAAATACGGGCTTTATTGTGACTCTTGCTAGTGCGCCGCTTGTGTGTGTCCATAATTATTTCAATAACTCTATAAAATTATTTTTTTCCACACACACTCATAAATAAATTTGCGATCGTTTAGATTTTCTACCGCATTATATATTGATTTACATAAGTTCTTTTACGAGAACGTTTAAACAAACAATTATATACAATGGGTTTCCTTAAAAAAATGTCAAAGTGTTCGATAAAAACTCAAAGATTAATTACTAAATCGATATTATAATTACCTTGGGTATAACATTCCTATTATCTGTGTAAATAAAGAAATCTGTAACATAATAGAACCCTAATAAGGCTAATATTAAAGCTTATCTATATAATAGAAGATTTGTAGCCTGAGACATAATTAATGAAAATTAAATATGGATATCTGTTGTTTTAAAAGCTGCATTAATTATATACATAAAAACTGAATTTGTTGACAGATGGTCAGGTATCGCTTGTTTTACATATTAATATTTATTTCTTAGTTCTTCCAAGTAAACCAGTTATTCGTGATGAAACTGGTCAGGCTCAACAAAGTTTAATTGGACCTTATAACGAAGGTGACACTCTTTCTCTATCCTGTGAGGTATTTGGAGGTATGAAACACTATAATTCTGTTAAAAAATTATTTTTCAACCTAGATTTTACTGTTGAAGGATGAAAGATGATATAGAAAATTTCCTGATAGAACTCCTTGACTGTTTGTTGTTGTTGTTGTTATTTTTAGCATCAAATGAATTGTTTCAAGAAATATTATATAAATTAAAAATGCTTTGTAGAAAGTAATTTTTCTTTCTCCAATGATAATTCTGAGAAATGTAGTGAACAGCTGAGATTTCTGTGGAAGTTTCTTTAAGTAAAAAACAAAATGATTAAAGTTTTCCTAATTTTCTATATTTAGTTACACCTTATGTAAATATTATAAGCTGTGTAACTTTAAATACCTCTATAAAATTCATAGCTCGTTAACATACATGGCTTTAAAAAAAAGTCTTTTTATTTCTTCTTGAAACAGGAAATCCTCAACCAAATGTAACATGGTGGAGAGAATCTGTATTGTTAGACAATTCGATGGAGATTAAAACTTCTTCGACCGTGCGAAACATTTTAAAGATTCCATCTTTACAACGTCATGATCTGATGGCAGCTTTTATCTGTGAAGCTTCCAATAATGATCTTACTTCGCCTTTTTCAACTTCAGTTACAGTAGATATGAACTGTAAGTTTTGAATGCTTTATTTATTTAAGTTATCAACAACTTTGAAATGGCTTGTTTGGTTACGGTCTTTACAAAAATAAGTTTTGTTTTCTATATTTGTCGATGTCAATGAATCAGAAATACACTTGAAACTGTCAGGAATGTCGGGTTGAAATATTTTATCCGTGGAGTGCTTTAATTCCTATCAGATAACATTTCAAGTGATGCTAGTATCTGTACTTTATTTTGCGAAGATAAAAGATTTCACTGTGGAGAAAACTATTTATACGGTTTTCGTACGCGTTTCAAGTATGACATTTTTGTATGTCTCAGACATTAATAGTAGATACACAATAGATAGTGCAAGTCTATTTAAACTATTTACAATAACCGTTATATGGCTTTTTATCACAGTAACCTCACAACTAAATGATTAAGTAAGAAGAAATAAATATATTTTTGATATATATATTATATATTAGTAATAAAAAAAATGTCGGGATTTAAAGGTCATTATATACATAGCAAAAATATTTGTGGTTTATCAGTAAACTTAAATACAATATATTATATTTATTCACGTTTCAATTGCGATAGAAATATGACTTGATTTCCATTTAACATAAATTACATTTGAAACAATTGAAATAAAAGTTTTTGATTCGGTTAGGACAGATATACATATATATATATATATATATACTGGTAATAAATATACTTGATTCATCAGATCTATTTCTTTTCAAACAGATATATACATATATACTGGTGATAAATATACTTGATTCATCAGATCTATTTCTTTTCAAACAGATATATACACATACATATACTGGTAATAAATGTACCTGATTGATCAGATCTATTTCTTTTCAAACAGATATACATATATATATATATTGGTGATAAATATACTTGATTTATCAGATCTATTTCTTTTCAAACAGATATATATATATACATATATATACTGGTGATAAATATACTTGATTTATCAGATCTATTTCTTTTCAAACTTTCTCGATTCCCTTGGTTTCTCTCCGTCCTAACACTAGTTTGACTCTAGTGGAACAAAATATGAAACACTTTATTTTATTAAAAGTACTCAAAAACTGACGATGATTTGCAAAACCTATACATAGACGTCTGGTTAAAATGAAACAAACCGTTCTGTATACATATGTTACACAAAATATAACGATGCATTTCTACCATTTTAAAATTTACAACACTTAAAGGTTGCAAATTGCAGCCTCACACATACAAGTAAGGCTTAAATGGACAATGGCATTATCACAATATACAAGTTTTAAACTAATAACGTTAGGCAATACCCTTGAGTAAAAAAAAAAGAGTAAAATTCACGTGATTGTTAAGAGAAGAAGAAGAAGGCACCGTAACAGCAAGCTGTTTTAGACACCTAAGTGAGTTTGGTATATTTTCATAAGAATTTTCTATTTGGCAAAGGTCTCTCAGCATATTTCTCTGTTTATGAGAAATGCGTTATGATAAGATACTTTAGTCAAATCGAATATGTTTTATAAATGTATATATATATATATATATATATATAT